ATCAGATTTTAAAAAGTGAAAAATATGAAACATTTTGTGTCTGCAAGCTTTTAATTTGGCGCCAAACATGGGTCGACCGCGTCCGGTACTCGCTCCTCGGCTCCTCGAGTGTCGCCTAGTAGGATGATAATTGTGTTATTTTGAACAAAATATGTTGTTCCTCGTCAAATTAAGCCCAGAATTCTCGCGTGAAGTATTAGAAGAGGCCAAAGAAACTTTAGCATTGTCTTTATTTTTGTTAGCCGCGATGAAAAGAGCTATTATCGTGTCCTTTCGGTAGGACAGCTCGGTTTTGACTGTCGTTCCAAGCTACTGCGGGTGCAGCCACCGTATGGGATAAAACTACTGGTTAAGAGGCCCTCAATTAAGGACTAAACCGTATCATAGTAGACTTTACCAGCTGTTTTACCCTCTTACGAAAGTTCACACTCCGAACACAATAAATAAATGGATTTAAAGTAGCATTCAAGTAATATATTGCATTTATCCAACTTTGAATATCGGGAAATCTTGGATCCTCTGGCGAAACAACTGCATAAAACACCACTGCCGGAACCCAAGAGGCAGCAAAGACACCCAGAATAACTGCCATTGTCTTTGTCGACTTGCGCTCGTGTAAAAAATTGGTGGTCCTTTTTGCATTTGTAATCTGCAAAGCAGCGATTTGCCGCTCCTTCTTCAACGCAAACAAGAAGATGTGGATGTACAGTGAGATTGTCACCAAGATTAATAAAATGCAGTAGGCTGATTGAATGTAGACAAAGTTTAGGCCCATGAAAACAAAAGTTATTACTGCCCCAGCTAGCCAAGTTAGGCAGATGCAATATACTGTGCGGCGTTTTGTCATCATAGATGTATACTTGAAAGGAAAAGAAATGGCTAAAAAACGGTCCACGGCGATTGCAAATAAACTCGAGACGGCGGCAGCGACAACGAACTGTCCAAGACCTCGAAAAGCTAATACAGTCATCTCGGACAAATGGCAAAAGCCCAGTTTACGGCAAAATTGTTTGTAAATTGAACCAGGCGCGACGAAAGCCATGCAGATAAAATCTACTGATGCCAAGTTTGCGAGAAGAAGGTTTGATGGTGTAGCGAGGCGAATGTTGACTGAGATAACCAGTAATACCAGAAGATTTCCGAGTGTTCCAAGGAGACTCAAAAGAAAATTTATAACAATGACTGATATGCCTGAAGCGAGATTTGGCGACAGTGAAGGGTGCGTTGTAATATTTCCATGCTCTGGGTTGCTCGGCAGCATGGTTTGCAGACGTTTGGAAGGATATACCTGGAAAGGAAAATTCAAAAAAGGTGAAAAAATGGTAATATGATTGTTGCTAAATTTAGTCTTTTTTTTCCCTTCAGGTTGCATTACGCTGATATTGAAATATGCGGAAAGAGCTTCCTACACATTGACCACCTCCGTCTGATTTCCTGTATTTTGTATTAAAATATCATCCTTTTATAACAAAGCACTAAAAATAACACCATTTTCTCTTTCCTCCACTCACTGGCAAACGAAGATTAAGCATGAATCTCAACGAACTGAGTAAGAAAAATGTCAAAAACACCTTTGTATAACTCTTTTTTGTGTGTGTTCAGTTAGCATCAAAACAGCTGCGACCAGCCTATCGCATAGGACTCCGAGATCATTACATTAATTCTCCAAACTGATTTGAATACATTTACTTTGATGTTGTTTTGAGAATTCGATGATTCATCAAGAGAGTTCGCTAGCAATCTGCTCTGATCACATTGCACTGGTATTTGCGGGAGTTACATTGCGATTGTCTTTTGGAATTCAAGTGTGGTAAAAAAAAGACGTATTTTTCCTAATTTATCTCTTACAGAAATAGGGTAGAAGTGTTTTGCTCAATTATAGCTTTAAAGTAGACAACATTCTAAATTTGAGCTTCGTGTAAGTTACCAAACAGAATTTTAACAACCAATTCATTTAAATACTTAAATTCCTCGTCAAGTTCTTTAGCAAATAGCTTTTTTAGTCTGTTAGATTTCGTTCTGAAGTATTTAGGTCATATATTGTTACAACTTACCTGGAATTCAAAGAATGTTTAGTGAATAGAATTTTTTTGTGCTTGATGGTTTCACAGCTGAATATAGTTTCTTACTTCAAACGTCTAAGACCACCTATAATACGCGAAATAAATTTGAAGGTCAATGCCTGAACACGTTTGTTTTCGTGAATGAATCCTTCATTCCATGTCATATGATTGCAAAAATTTGATCCATACGAAAGTAATATCGTAAGAAACTACACATTACCAGCTTATCTTAACAATGCCCTAAACGTTTCATAAAGTTTATAATTCTAAGTTACGGGAAGGCTTACATCCACATTCAACCTTAATAAGTGAAAAATCTCTCTATCCAGAAACGTTCCTTAAAGAAAGTTTGAAGTTTCGCTGTATTCTGTTGTTTGTTTCTTACAGTCTGCGAATCGGTTTTTTTGTTTTTGTTTTTTGTTTTGTTTTTTTTTTTCATCCCTTTGTCTTAACGTTGCCCGATGATTAAACCCAGAACAAAGTTAACTTATTAAAAGATAAACAGGCTTCCAGAGCAGTCAGAATGAGAGAACTTACCATATAATGCGCATAAGTCTCCAAGCTTCTGTTTTTGCTCTCCGATAAAATATAACTCTGTGAAAGAAAAAGCACAATCCAGTTTTGCGAAGAACCGAGCGATCGGCGTGAAAGCGAACTTGAATTTTTTATCTGTAGAAAGAAATGGACGGTTGGTCTATTGATTTTCTCCCTTGGTCAGTCTTTCGGAACGAAGTTACACGCTTAAT